ACAGAGAGAGAGAGAGAGAGAGAGAGAGAGAGAGAGAGAGAGAGAGAGAGAGAGAGAGAGAGAGAGAGAGAGAGAGAGAGAGAGAGAGAGTGGGGTTTCCATGTTTGATGGTTTGAGGTGGAGGGAGGGAAGACATGGAATGGCTGACTTGCCGCCTACTGGATGTCAGTCCTTCTGTGGGCTCCGGTGGAGCAAAGATATGTGGCGGCCTTCAGCAGGCACAATGTGCAGCTTTTCATCCCACGGAGGCACTTGTTGCCGTCGCTGTTGGACGTGTTATCCTCGAGTTCGATGTGCTGGTTGGAAGCAAGCTCGCCTGTATGGATATGGGGGGTACTGTGATGAAAATGGCGTACTGTCCCTCTGGTGGCCACACCATTGTGGCAGTCTTGGAAGATGACATGACCATCCGCGCCTGGGATATCGACGCCGAGAATACCTCAATACTTTACTCCCCAGACGGCAAGAAGGTCGACAAGCCTGTTACTGTTCACATTGCCCTTACCCCTCTTAGACCGTGGTTATTCTTTGCCGCTCATAAGCGAACGACGGTCAACGTTGTTGGCACAGCAGAAGGCGTGAAGCCAGCGCAGAAGCTGAAATTGGATATTCAGAAACACGTGAGTTTTTTGGCCTGTCATCCCAGGGAACCGCTTCTCTATGTTGCCTATATGGATGGGTCTATCAGGGGGTATAACCTAAATGGGGGGTTCCAGCATCAATACACCTTGGGCCCATCGGAGGGGATGCTGAAACTTGGCGGCGCGGAGGCGATCGCCTTCCACGCTACCGCAGATGTGATGTTCGTTGGGGACAGGGCTAATCTTCTCCTGGCCTATGATCTGAGGACACGTGTCTGCTTAGGATCGATTTCAATCGACGAATCCTTTCCAACGTCCGTTGCCTGGCATCCAACGATCCGATGTGTGGTGATATTGCGGAAGGACGGCATAACCGAGGGCTATACGGTGCGCTTGCCACTAGGTATGGGCGGTGGCGCGGCGGGAGGAGAGGGGAACAGAGGCGGCGGAGGCGGGGGAAGCTTCTTTGAACCTGCTGGTATGGAAAGGTTAGACGCGCAGCAACTGCTCCGTCAAGCAGGGGTATCTTCCTCCTCCTCTGTCGGTGGTGGTCCCGGCGATCCTGTGCCAAAGCCTGTGGACTTGCTCGTGCATCCTAAGTTGAATGCCGCTACCGTAATATTTATGGACTCAAGCGCCGCCAGGAGCGCAGGGGGAGGCAGTGGCGGCGGTGCAGCGATGGGACGCCATTCCCGCCGCACACTGCTGTCGATTTTGCAGAGCACACGTCGCACAACCTCCCAAGGCGGCGCCCAAGTGCTGATGGAAAAGATGTCCTCGATGGGATGCTCGGCTTCCTTCCTGTCTGATCACGAAATCCAGATGCACATGAGGAGAGATGCCTCTCGAGGGGTCAACAAAGGAACGCTTATAGATTATGCCCGGAAATCGTTTTTATATGGGAGTGGTGGGGGGGGTTGGGGGGGGGGGCAATGTCAGCAGCAAGACAATCAGGCAGGCGGCCACGTAGACGGAAATGGAAATGGGAACGGGAATTGGTTTCTGAAGAAGTTGCCTCTTTTGGCGATCTCTGATCCTGCTCACCCTCTGCGAGACATCCCGGTTTTTCAGCCTTTCCAGCGAGACTTGCACTTTTTTAGCACCGATAGTGGGTCGTATATTTACCCCCTTCGAGCAGATTTCATGGATGGGTGTAATTTGATGGGCTACAATCTTGCCAAGGGGGATCATCACCGGTATTTGCAATTGGCACCCCGAGGTCAGTCAGGCCGCGGGGAGAGGAGACCCCGCCACATGACTTACAGCTGGAAGCAGCATGTCTGGTTGGTCTTCTTCGACTGCCTAGATGCCGGGGCTGAGTGCTCGATTCTCAGAAATCCCGACGCCCAGTATCCCGGCTTGGAACAACCCATAACCATTCAGGGACGAGATGGTGCCTTTGTGGCGCCCAACGATGCGCAGTATGCAATTCTGGACGAGGACGGGATGAAGCTGACGGTGTACACGTTGGAGGGTGCATTTGAGGATGTCAGGCCTTCGGCAGCGACCCGTGGAAGAAGTGGAGGAGGAGGAGGAGAGGGCGGGAAGATGCTTGCTCTTACGTGGGAGGGTGCCGGGGACGGTGGTCTGTCTCCCAGCGCTCAGGAAAACGGGGATGGTGATGCGGGGGGCATGGGAATGGCGGGAGTTTCTCGTGCACAGTCTCCTCCCCCTCCCCTCTCTGCATGGGAGCCAGATGTGGCCCTCTCCTCCTCCAGGCCCTCGAAGCCCCAGCTGGTACTAAATCAGACCAGGTGCGACAAAGTGCCGCTCGAGTTCTCCTTCGATGCTCCTGTTCAGCGGGTCTTTCCCTGCGCATTGGAGGACTCCTTGCTGTATGTCTGTGCAGGTAGCCACGTCGGGATCGTCTCCATTCGGGCTGTCAGTTGGGGTGGAGGCCGCCTGGGGGGCCAGGGCATGAGGAGGCTCCTCTCGACAATGGATGGGGAGCACAAGTCGTTGAAGCTCAAGCCATTGGAACGCGTTTTGCAGGTGTCTTGGCAGGAGACCAGCAAGGGTCATGTTGCTGGGATAGTCTCGACAATGCGGGTCCTGATTGTCTCTGCCTCTTTGGAGGTGATTGCCGAGACCTCCACGCCCCTTGATGTGGGCTATCCCCCTTTTCGAAGCTGTTTGTGGGTGGGACCGGCCTTGCTGTTCTCCTCTGCCACCACGATTGCAGTTCTGGGGTGGGACTCTGGTGTTCGGACGGTCTTGACCATCGATCAACCGAACGCAGGCATGCTGGGGATGCTGAATGACCGCGTGCTGCTGGCAACCTGGGCAGAAAGCCCCAAGTCAGGGGTAGAAATCAAGTCCCGTCTCATTGGCCTCCTGGAACCCCTGCTGATTGGGTGGGTGACAATGCAGTCCTGTTTTGACCGGCAGCTGGATCTGTCTCAGGTGATGTTTCAGATCACGTCGAGATTCGATTCGCTAAGAATATCCCCGAGGATGTTGGAAGTTCTGAGTCTTGGGCCCGACCCCTGCGGCGACCTCGCGGTGGAGTTGTCCTACACCCAGGCAGGGCCTCAGTTCACACAGGAGCTCCGCTGTGGATATGCCATCAGGGCCAGACGGTTTGACACTGCATTTACAATCTTGAAAGACGAGTTCGGTCGGTCCCGAGACTATCCCCGATGCCCGCCGTGTAGCCGGTTGTTCCAACGCTTTCGAGAACTGGGGCGTGCGTGTATCAGGTATGGACAGTTTGATAAGGCGAAAGAGACATTCGAGAGGGTGGGCGACTATGAGAGTATGTTTGACCTGTTTCTGACGCATATGAATCCCAGCGCATTGCGACGACTGGTCCAGAAACTGGAAGAGACAGATGCAGATCCAGAGCTGAAGAGACAGTGTGACAAACTGCTGGCCATGCGGTCGACAGGATGGGGAGGTCTGCAATGTGGCGCAGGTGGTGTTGGTGGCGCATTCTCTGCGCTCATGGGCGGCGACAACATGACCCCCAAGGGCTCTGAATGGGCAGGTGGCAATTGGGAGATGAAGGTTAAACCGGAGATCAAGAAAGTGCAGGATTGGCAGCTTGCGACGGAGGTTTCTGGCCATATGAAGGTTGTGGGTCCGGCAGGACAGTCGCAGGCAATACCTACCATAATTGCAGATACATTGGGCGTCTACCTGGGAACAGAGAAGGGGAGAACACAGGTTCTGGAGGAAAGGGATGCTGCCAAGTTCCTTAGTCGATTTGTTGATAACGAGGGAGCATATGAAAACGGACACAATGCCGAAGACGATGACAGTCATGGGAGCCCAGGAGCAGAATCTGCCCCCTCCTTGTTCTCTCGACACGGAAGCGAGAAGGTCGACGATCGCCCAGAAGATGCAGGTGGTGTGGGAGGCAGCGTGGCAAAGCTGCATCCCGGCTGGAGCAGCAGTGGTAAGCATGTTGGGACGGGTGGCGCCCTCCTGGCACTGCCGGCACCAGGAGGAGCGGCCGACGAGGAGGAGACTGAAGAGCAGAAACGCGCAGCCAAGGAGTTTGCCAAGGGTTTCAAGGGGTCTGTCTCAGACAGCAGCAGTGACGAGGAGGAAGACTCTGGGACTGCACGGCGGAAGAGCAAATTCCAGATTCGAATACGGGATGCCAAGGGTAGTGGAACAGGCAAAGATGCAGTCAATGTGGACAAACTGAAGGAGGCAACGCGGCAGTTCAGGGTTGGTGAGATAAACAAGTCAGTGACCATGTCTATGCAGTTTGGTGCAGGTACACTGAAGCCTGGCAAGCTTGTCTTTGGAGCTCCAGGGGTGGGAGGAAGCCAGGCAGGCTCCTCTACTGCTCCTCCTCGCACAGAGGGCACGCCCGAGAATGCAGGAGCGACAGAGTGGGAAAACAGAGCGTCCATGGAAGGCACAGTGGGACATGACATGGTCTCAGGGGGTGGTGTAGATTGGCAGCAGAGTGCGATGGGCTTTATGGCCCCTGTGGAGGGGGTGGGTGGATATTCGATGGCAGGCGATCCCTCACACCAGTCAGCTCCAGGAGGAGATGGAATGATGATGATCCGAGGCCTCGGAGGGGCAATGGGAATGGGCATGGCAGGCTTGCCCCAGCAGGATTCCGTAACTATGAGTGGAGTTCAAGGCGGCATGGGTGTGGGTGTCGTTGATAGAGGACAACCAGGTGGATTGCTTGATTTGAGCTTTGATGGGCCGCCATCTGGGCCTACTTTTCAAGCTGTACAATTGTCAGGGGGTTCCCGAATGGGCATGCAGGCCTTTGCCATGCCAACGACGGAGTTTGAGGGTGCCGTCTTTGGAGGGGTCTCAATGGATGGGAGCAGGAGTAGCGGGCCAGAGTCTTACGGAGGAGGCTTGCTTGCATTTGACACTCCACCAGGGAGCGTAAGTAAATCAGGAGGTGGAGGTGACAGAGGGAGTGGAGGAAGAGTGTTGTCGGCAAGAGGCACCGAACAGGGTGTGGTTGGGTCTTTTGGGGCTGGAGGAGCTGCTGATGGGCCCAGTAATCGGCCGGGGGTCCAGCCAGGATTTGTCCCAAAAGGCGCTTCCGCATCACAGTGTTTCAAGGCAGGCCTCGCTCACCTGGAACGCAATGCTCTTGCTGATGCTCTCTCATGTTTCAATGAATCCTTTGTTTCTCTGTCCAAAGAATTCGCCGCAGGAAAAGATATTAAGTCTCAGGCACGTATGTGCGCACAGTACAAGATTGCAGTGATGTTGTTGCAAGAGATTGCAAAGCTGCAGACGGAGGTAGGCGTGGGTGGTAAGGAGGAGATGGCCCGAATGGCCAGACATCTGAGCGCGTTGCCACTTCAGCCTAAACATCGGGTCTCTTGTGTAAGGACCGCCATCAAGAAGAACATGGATGTCCACAATTATGGATATGCAAAACGGATGCTTGATTTCCTCCTTGCAAAAGCGCCCCCTAATAAGCAAGCGGAGCTGAAGGGAATGATAAACATATGTGTTCAACGGGGACTAGTCGATAGAGCAATCGATGGTCCTGAGGACTCCAGCAAATTCTGCGCAGCGACTCTTGGACGACTCCCGACTATTGGTCATGATACATGTGATGTGTGTTCAGCAAACTTCACCGCTGTCGCATTGCCCGTCTGTCCCATCTGTGGCTTGGGGACCGTCCAAAGGTCAGATGCACTCACAGGAGTATATTCATCTCCTTTTGCCTGAACGACAGGTCGATACTAATTTGGATGTTTGCCCTTCAGATCCACCCCCCTGTTGTTGACGTAGGACTTCGCCTAACACTTAACCTAGCAAAGGTTGATATTCTTCAAGACGCTGTATGTTGATTGCTAGGTTGATATTCTTCAAGATGCCGTATGTTGATTGCATGCATAGACCAGACCATAGAGGGGTCTCCATACTTTTTATGGGTGTGCTTGAGGTGCTCAGACAACAGGAGAGTGATGCCTCTCTCCATTTGTGTGCGTGTGTGTGTGTGTGTGTGTGTGTGTGTGTGTGTGTGTGTGTGTGTGTGTGT